TCTGCTCGTTGGGCCGATGTTCCTGGCGGCAAGGCCTCGGCCCAAATTGTTTCTGACTCAGTTGTCAATGCAGCACCGGCTTTCCTTTCCCCTTGATTTACGAAGCTGCTTCCGTCCGTGAACCAGACATGGTCGGGGTTGGGAAGGGGTTGATCCGTGAGGTCAGCTCTCGTCCCATGGACCTCAGCCAGGACCTGCAAGCAGTCATGAGTCTCTGCTTCCCCGGGAGGGGGAGTAGCGAGGCGGGGTTCAGGGTCACCGGAGCCCCGGAGTGAGTCGGTCCTTGTCCAGCAACAGAGTCTGGTAATGGGTCATCCTGGCATTGGTGAGCCAGCGGCCCGGTGGCTGCCTGAGCATAGATAGTCAAAGGCTGCCCCAACGTCAATTTGTCAAAGGGTTCAGTCAGATCAGGTAACCCCAGAGCTGGGGAGCTGAGCAGAGCCTTCTTGATGTCCATGAAGGCTTTCTCCTGGCTCTCCCCCCAGTCAAAGTTGTCCCAAGATTCCCAGGTCTGCATCCTGCCATTCAAAGGCAAACAGTGGCTGACTGTCTTTGTGTAACCGCAGGCAGAAGAAGGCATCCTTTAAATCCAGGACTGAGTATCAAACATAGTCAGGTGGCAGTCCACCCAGGAGGTTATAGGGATTGGGGACCATGGGGTGTATGTCCTCAACCCGCTTATTGACTTCCCGGAGGTCCTGGACCGGCCTATAGTCATTGGTTCCTGGCTTCTTGACTGGCAACAGGGGAGTGTTCCAGGGGGACCGGCAGGGGGTTTGGGTCTCTGAAAGGTCCTTCTTTCTAAGTGAGGCCCCCTTTGTCCCTCTCTCTACCTATCCTGTCTCTGCGACTACTGTGGCCAACAGTTTAGTCATTTCTCTGTTACGCTTCTTGTCCCTTGCTATCCTGTCTCTGACATTCTGTTTCCATCTTCTCTCTCTCTCTCTCTGAGCTTCTTTTTTATTAAAAAAATGCGTTCTGTCTCCCTCAATACATCTGGTAGTGTATACCCCTGTCATATGGGTTATACATTCTGTAAGCTTCCTTAAGTCTTTCAAAAAATGCGGCTGGCGATTCCTCTGCCTTCTGAACTATCTGTCTTACCTGGGCCAAATTTATAGATTGCTTATCTGTCTTTCGGAGACTCGCTACAAGCAACTGGCATTAAAGACATTAGATGGGTCCTACCTGCCTCAGTGGTGAAGTCCCAGCCTGGGCAGCATCAATTTCATTTGGAAGCTGCGTAGGTTGTCCATTTGCCCCAGGAACAATTTTTTTTTCCGGGCTTCAAGAAGGACCCGCTGTCTCTCCTCCGAAGTTAGGAGGACTTGCAAAAAGCTGTTGGGCAGTGAGAACCGATTCTAATAGATCAGTCAGTCTCACGGGGTCTGCTGAAAAGGAGGGGTTATTATTTTTCCAGTTATAAAGATCTGAGGCAGAGAACGGCCAGTACTGCAACTGGCCATCATGGCCCGTCCGGAGGCAGGGCGGTTTAATCCGGAGCGGGCTGAGGCTACGGCGCCGCCCGGAAGGGCCGGAGCTTCTGCCGGGGAGCGGGGCCGAGGGGCGTGGCGGCTGCTCTCTGACCCGGTCCATCGCGGGCCGCAGGGAGGCAGACACAGCTCCCCTCGCATTGTCGCCGGTCGGTCGCGCCGTCACATTCAGGGCGCCCTTCGCGCAGCGGCCGGGACGCTGAACGCGAACCGGAAATGGGCCGCAGCCCGAGCCGCAGCGGCGGCGGCGGGGGGGTTAGGGAAGAGGAGGGGGAGGGAGGGTCATAGACCGGCACTTCCCAGGTAACTATATAGGGTACTTGGTCCGGGTGGCCCTGGGGTCCAGGATCCATGACTTTCTCTTTCACCTGGAAAATAATTTGAGGGTTAAAGATGCCATCTCGTGGCCAGCCAACATCAAAAGTTGGCCATTCAGAAGAGCAAAAGGTGATCTTTGCTTCTTGCGCGCATCGACAGTCCGGTTACGAGCATCTCGAGAGCGATGACAAACGACATTCAGACGGACGAACAGATAAGAAACAAAAACAAACAGATTTTCGCTGCGCGGCTTTGACGAAAGTCAAAAGCAAATTCAGATCGGGGACGGGGGCCTTGTGCTCCCGTCCTTGTCCCCTATCAGGATGGAAACTCCCTCGGCCAGCGGGACTTCCCCAAACAGACGGGGCAGATTCCTAGGCATCTACCCCAAACAACCGAGTCCCTAAGAACTCCAGCTCCAGATACAGACCTACCCCAAACAGACGAGTTCCTAAGAACTCCAGACGGGGCAGATTGACATCTGCCCCAAACAGACGGGGCCCCAAACAGACGAGTTCCCTAAGAACTCCAGACGGGGCAGATGGACATCTGCCCCAAACAGACGGGGCCCCAAACAGACGAGTTCCCTAAGAACTCCAGACGGGGCAGATAGACATCTGCCCCAAACAGACAGGGCCCCAAACAGACGAGTTCCCTAAGAACTCCAGACGGGGCAGATGGACATCTGCCCCAAACAGACGGGGCCCCAAACAGACGAGGCAGATCGTATCCTAGAGCTGCGGTCGGTGCCACCAGATACAGATGTATACAGCTGTATATTACAGACGCAGGCGCAATAAAACAACAGGCATAGACAGACAGACAGCAGACAACAGAAACAACAGAAATTTAGTCCGGACAATTCTTACCTCCCAGAAGTGGGTCGGTGGTCCCTGGGCGGGGTCTCAATTCCCGGCCAACGCACCAAATGAAAGACCCCAGGCGGGGGACTTTCACGGGAGGGAGACCCGAACCCAAGGAACACCGAGACCACGAGCTTGGATGCAACAGCAAGAGGCTTTATTGATAATACACGGGTACCCGGGGCATCTCAGTCTCGGGAACTGAGAGCCCCGAGCTGGGGACTCAGGGGTCCTTTTATAGCAAAAGCGGAGTACAGAAGCAAGAAGCCTAGTTACAGGACCCTGATTGGACAATGAGGCCGGGGCTCACAGAATGAGGGCTATTGAGGTTTCTCTCAGAACTCAAGTCTCGGCCTTGGCCCTATCTGAGGAACAATAGGTCCCTGTGCTTGCCCAATCTTGCTGGGCTGACTATAGACACCTGTGTCCCTGGGCAGAGTTCCCTTCTGATAAAAAAATGACTATTCAGCTGTGGGGGAAACGGAATTTTCCATGAGCCTCAGCTTGCCTGTGTGGGCCGGGGTCTTTCAGGGTCACTGTTCCATCAGGGTTGCAGGACAAGGACTCTGGAGCCTTGTTTCTCCTGACAGTCCTGAGAAGGGGCAGAAGAGGGGTTTGTAAGCATAAAATCCACAAACATCTGTTGCCAAGTTACAGAGATTAGGGGCTTCCTTGAATGTTCTATCATTGTCAACTGACATGCAATGCAAGCCTTTCAGTGCAACCAATCAGATTCCTTTGCTCCTTCCATTGTTAGAAGGAGCCAGGCAGTGGTGGTGCACGCCTTTAATCTCAGCACTGGGAGGCAGAGGCAGATGGATCTCTGTGAATTCAAGGCCAGCCTGGTCTACAGAGCGAGTTCCAGGACAGTCTCCAAAGCTACAGAGAAGCCTTGTCTCAAAACAAACAAACAAACAAAAACAGTCACAATGTTTCTAGAGAACTAAAGATGCATGACTACTATTTCTATGGTATAGGAAGGAATTTGGTCAGCCATTGGAAAGTTCTCAGCTCCCCTAGGGCTTGGGAACCTGATCTTTATGTAACCCTATGGGTAAAATGAGTCTGAAGTCAAAATGGCAGTGCTCAGGCTAAGGTGCTTTTGTCTGCTCCCTTCAATCTGCTTGCCTCTGTCTCTCCAGTGCTCCAGTGGCTGATGGGGGAGGGCCCAACCCCATTGTAGATGGTGCCACCCCTGGGTTGCTGGTCTCCTGGGTGCTGTAAGAAAACAGGCTGAATCAGGCATGCCTTTAATCCCAGCACTGGGGGAGGCAAAGACAGATCTCTCTCTGAGTTCAAGGCCATCCTGGTCTACAGATAGAGTTCCAGGACAGGCAGAGCGACACAGTGAGATCTACTCTCAAAAACAAACAAACAAAAAAAAAACAAAAAAAAAAAGGAAAGAAGGAAGGGAGAGAACAAACGAACGAAAAAGAAAACAGGCTGAGCAAGCCAGTGAGCAGCACCCTCCATGGCCTCTGCATCAGCTCCCGCCTCCAGCATCCTGCCCTCCTTGAGCTCCTGTCTTGGCTTCCCTCAGCAGACTGTGATTCAGGATACAAAAGTCAAGCAGACCCTTTCCTCCCCAAGTTACCTGTGGTCACAGCACTTCATCATAGCCATAGAGACCCTCACTAGGACAAAATCCTAGACTTCATCCTCAGAACCGACCAAAGTTAAAACAGAGTAGTTGGCACTTGTATCATCGCCTGCCATTCACTGTGAAAGGAAGCCGGTGATGGGTTAGTTGGCTTGGTGGGTAAGGCAAGCCTTACTGCCTCAGTTCAACCCACAGGACCCACCTGGTGGAGAGAAGTGACTCCCACAGTTGTCACTTAACCTTCACAATGGCACCATGGCACACATGCATCACCAGCTAAACATTTAAATGTAAAAAAAAAAAAAAGATTCACTCACTAACTCTAGGTGGGCTGGAACAATGGCTCAGCAGTTGAGAATACACTTGAAGCTCTTGCAGAGGAACTGGAGTTTGGTTTCCAGCCCCACATCCTGGTTCATGACTAGCCGTAAGTCTTCCAAGGGGATCTGGTACCCTCTTCTGGCCTCCACTAGCATGACACACACATTTGGTGCAGATACACACGAAGGCAAAGCATCCATATGTGTGTGCACATGTGTGACAGCACCCGCAGAAGCTCAAAGGTTGCTTCTGGAACTCGAGAGTCACAGTCGTCGTGAGTCACACTACACAGGCACTAGGAACTTCTGCCTTAGCTCAGGTTTTCTGTTGCTGTGAAGAGACACTACCTCCACAGCAACTTTTATAAAGGAAAACTGTAGCAACACAAACCACGGTACACGGGACTGGGGCGAAGTAAGTTAATTTTATTGAAGAGAAAAATCACTTACATGAGAAACGATAGCTCAGAGGATGCCGTATCAGCTCTGAGACCTGACCGGAACCCCAAGAGAGAGTGGCCTGCCTATCTTCAGGTCTAAGTCCCACCACAAATGCACCTGTGGCCACGCCCAAAATGGGCGTGGTCGGCGCCACAGGTACCTAATAAGATCTCTCCCTACAGAAAACATTTAATTGGGCCTGGCTTACAGTCCATTATCATCACGGTGGGGAGCGTGGCCGAGTGCAGGCAGACACGGTGCTGGAGAAGGAGCTGAGAGCCCTACGTCTGGATTGGCAGGCGGCAGGGAGAGAGGGTGAGCCACGGACCCTGGCTTGAACATTTGAACCCTCAAAGCCCACCCTCAGTGACACACTTCCTCCAACAAGGTCACACCTCCTAACGGTGCCACTGCCCGTGACCAAGCGTTCGAATCTATATAATTATAGGGGCATTCCTATTCGCAGCGCTCTTAACCACTAATCTATCTCTCCGGTCTTCCTCCTTCTCTCAAGACAGGGTCTCATGTAGCCCAGGCTGGCACTGAACTCCCGATCTTCCTGTCCTCTCCTCTCAGGTGGCGGGGTTACTGTCACACACACCATTCCTGGATGAGCTTTCTAACGTGTGTCTGGCTACGTGGCCCCAGTGGCAGTGTCGTAACCTGATTCCCTACCACTTCTACAGCCGTGCACCATGGAAGGGACGGGAGGCAGAAAAAGGGATTGGACCTCTTTTAAGTGTGGCAGCCCAAAATGGCACACGTCACTTCCTTGTTCTTCCCAGATGCCAACACTCTGTAGAACTCTACCATCTGGGGGCAAAGGAAATGGGAGATACCTCTTTAGAGGAGCAGGCAGGTGTACAGCTAAATATTCTAAGTCTAGGGAAGAAATGAACGGAGGATATTTGAAGATAGCTAAGCTTACTTTTCAGACCACTGTTGTGTCTGTGGGCAGAGGTGGAGGCACCATTCCAAGTTCCTACAGCTCGACTCTCCTGGTGGGGTCCCAGCACTTCTTTCTCGCTAGTTGGAGCAAAAGTCGCAGGGCTCATCTTCATCATTCCAAAGCCGTTTTCTAATCTCTAAAGCAATCACATGCTGGCTGACGGGACAGGTATTATGGAATCTGTGCACATCTGGAAGAGAGAAGCTGCATCACCCAGGAAGCCCCACAGAGAGCAGGGCCAGCTCTGCAAAGACACTGAGAGGCTATGGTCAGAAAGCCTTGGGTGGAACCGTGGCAGGGGAAATGGTATGTGTTTCCGGTTTTATGGCCTTGAGTCCACGGGAAAATAAATCAAGACCCTCAGCCTGTTTGACATGGCTGTCTTGGAGGTAAAGGGCCATTTGACAGGAAGAGGATGGAAATTTAAAACCCGGAGGGTCCAGCAAGAGGAACAAGTCAAAAGAGCAGACATGTCTGACTGGCATAGCCACCCCCACTTTATAGATGACACACTGGCCACTTCAGAAGCCTTTATTGGCTTTAAGGCAGGGTCTTGCTATGTATCCAGGCTGGACTAACAGGTGCACACCACCACAACTGGTTTTATTCAATGTCAGGGATCAAGCCCAGGGCTTCATACATGCTGAGCAAGAATTCTACCATCCAAGACACATCTCTGGCCATGCATAGCACAAATCATAGAAAACAAATAGTTAAAACATTAAAGTATAGCCAGGCACTAGGAAGGCAGAGACAGGTAGATCTCTGTGAGTTCAAGGCCAGCCTTGTCTACAGAGCAAGTTCCTGGACAGCCAGGACTGTTACATAGAGAAACCCTGTCTCAAGAAACAAAAACAAAACAAAAAACTATTAAAGTATATGGAGTTGTGCCTGGCATAAAGTAAGTGTTTAGTAACCAATTTAGATGGAAAAAATTATAAAACAGGTTATTATTAAGACATAGATAAAAGAGCCGGGCGTTGGTGGCGCATGCCTTTAATCCCAGCACTCGGGAGTCAGGCAGGCGGATCTCTGTGAGTTCGAGGCCAGCCTGGTCTACAGAGTGAGTTCCAGGACAGCCTCCAAAGCCACAGAGAAACCCTGTCTCGAAAAACCAAAAAAAAAAAAAAAAAGACATAGATAAAAGAAATGAGACAGACCACACACACACACACACACACACACACACTCACACACTCACACACACACTCACACACACAACCCGGAACTTGTAACTTCATGGTACCCATCTATGTGTGTGTGTATGCATATACACACATGTCCCCTAGCCCCTCTAAAAGCACTCAGCCCTCATCCCATGGAAATGTTGGGGCTCCTTCCTGTCCCAATGAAGCAGTCTCAGCCTGTTGAAACAAAGTCTTTCTGCCTCTGCCTGCTTTTTCTTACACTCGGCACAATGGCCTGTAGCTCTAGCTTCACGGACTCTGACCCCCTCCTTTGGCCTCCGAGACACCAACCTGTTCACGTGTTCACAAACAACACAGGTGAGAGTTGCCTCAGTGGTTAAGAGCCCTGGCGGCTCTTTCAGAGGACCTGGGTTCCATTCCCAGCACCCACATGTTGACTCATCAGTAACTCCGGTTCCAGAGGAACACACACACACACACACACACACACACACACACACACAGACTCTTGAGGCTGTGCATGCCTTTAATTCCAGCACTGGAGAGGCACAGGCACACACGTCTTCAGAGTTTCCGGTCAGTCTAGCCTACATACCAGTTCCAATCTGTCAGGTATGAAGAAACTCCTTTCCCCAAATTCTGGCAGTTAGACAAGAGCCAGCATTCCTCAGGAACTTAAGAAACTGGTTCTCACCTTCCAAAAAGAGTCACTCCCCTTACCTCTGGCAGAAGGGGCTGTGGCTACCTGTGACACTTATCAGCCAATCAAGGCCCATGCTGGTCTTCAGGCTCCCTCAGTACCACAAGGTTCCCAGTTACACATCCTAACCCTCTCCCCCTCGCCCACACCCTAGACTCCCTCCAGCTCGCGGGCTTCCAGTCCTCAGCTACTCACCCCACACCCTTCTCCCCCCCCACCCCCCTTCTCTCTCTCTGCGCCCCACGCCTCCTACTCCCGGATTTTTCCGTTCTCCATCCCCTGCTAGTCTGCGCTCTCGCAGACAGCCCCTAGCCATGTTCAGTCTACTTTCTCTCTGTGTTCTGGACTCTTCTAAACGCCTCCGGCTGTCCTCGCCTATCCACAACAAAAATCTTCCCCTTAGTCATACCACGGAGCAGTCATACCGTCAGCTCATGCACTTTCCAGCCCCTAAAATAATAAATCTTAAAAAAAAAAAAAACTGGGCTGGAGGGATGGCTCAGAGGTTAAGAGCACTGGCTGATCTTCCAAAGGTCCTGAGTTCAATTCCCAGCAACGACATGGTGGCTCACAGCCATCTGTAATGAGATCTGGTGCCCTCTTCTGTCCTACAGACATACATGCAGGCAGAATACTGTATGCATAATAAATAAATCTTAAAACACACACACACAAACAACACAAAAACTGCTTGTCCCTTCCCAAGGTCCTTGCGTCCTTTTGGTGGCCCACAGAGTCGAAACCTTCGCTCTCCGTCCTCCCTGGACTCATGTCTCCTCCAACTCAGCCAGAGTCTAACCGCTTAGGCCCTCCTCCTCCCCTCGACTCAAGTTCATACGCCGGCAGACCCGAGGCGGCTCAAGGACATCAATCCTCTTTAGAGCGGACCAAAACACCACGCCCCCACCGATAACTAAGTCCGCCGTGACGTACTGCTGCACCAACCAATCGGGTGCGACAGCACCGGAACGCAGGAGGCGGGACCTCTGGCGGGCGCGGCCGTTGCCAGGCCCTTTAATTTCCTGGGACACCGTGTTTGTGTGTCCGGGCGGTGCTTCTGGCAGGTTTGCGGCTGCTGCCTGTGACCCAGCGGTCATGAGTCGGCCCAGCCGGCTGCAGAGGCAAGTTTTGAGCCTGTACCGAGAGCTGCTGCGCGCCGGGCGGGGGAAACCGGGCGCCGAGGCACGGGTGCGAGCCGAGTTCCGGCAGCACGCCAGCCTTCCGCGTTCCGACGTGCTGCGTATCGAGTATCTGTACCGCCGGGGAAGGCGCCAGCTGCAGCTGCTGCGTTCCGGCCACGCCACGGCCATGGGTATCTTCGTGCGCCCTCGGGACCCGACTGAGGAACCCGGCGACATGGCAACCCCAGGGACCACGCTGCACGATAGCGATGGCCCAAAGAGTCCTTGTGAAGGCACAGAGCCGCGGGAGACGCGATCCGATAGACGGTGACAGACCCAGGGAAGGGTCCCTCCGGACGGTTTGGGGGGAAGATCGGGAGCTCATCTGATGCAAAGTGAGCTAGATGTCTTGAGAGGCAGCCGAAGTTTCTTGATGCACAGTGAAAGATCAGACACTCCCTCACCAAGAAGGGTCCAGGCGTGGTGTGGCACCGGCAGGCTGCACCGTGCACGCTGTGATGTACCAACCCAAAGTCAAAGAGGGCACAAACGCACCTCCTCCTCCCCACGGACGAGTGGGAGCCGAGACACCTCTCTTGACTTCTGAGAACGCACCCACCCCGCGCTCCTGAGGGCCTGCCCTTTGTTGTTTCTAACGCGGAGAGAAGCAGACTTTTTGCCTGAGCAAGTTTAATAAAAGGCCCTGATGAGCCGAGAGAAACTTGTAGTTGGGTTTGGGAAACCGTTGTTCCACGCATTGTGACAAACCAGGATGATAAGGGAGGGTTTACAGTAGTTCATCCCAGCTGATCAGCCAAAGACTCCTGGAGAATCCCTCCTGCATGGTTCTAAGAGGCAGTCCCTACCCCGCTAGTCTTCCTCAGGATTCTTGTGTAAAGGGAATAAATGTGCTTACTTCTTGTCACCTGTCCTTAGGGCTTTTTGCCTTTTGTTTCTTTTGAGACAGGGTCTTGCTATGATGTAGCCCTAGGCTGATCTGAGTAAGCATTGGGCTACTTCTGCCTTCTAAACTCTGGGAGTAGAAGCCTGTACTACCATGCCAAGATTGGGGAAGCAGGTGGGAACAAAAGGCAGGAATGCGGGCCCCAGCTGAGGCTTGTGTGACAGAAAAGACTGTAACACTATTTACATCCAGCTGTTACCTCTACTTGTTAACCCCTCACCATGGGATGTTAGCTACCGTTCATCTCTCAGCCCCAATTTTGTTCATCGGGATGATCTTTTTCTTTTTTCTTTTTTTGGTTTTTCGAGACAGGGTTTCTCTGTGGCTTTGGAGGCTGTCCTGGAACTCACTTGGTAGTCCAGGCTGGTCTCGAACTCACAGAGATCCGCCTGCCTCTGCCTCCCGAGTGCTGGGATTAAAGGCGTGCGCCACCAACGCCCGGCTCATCGGGATGATCTTGGTTGCTTTAGTTTTTGTCGTTTTTGAGACAGACTCATGTAGCCCAGGCTGGCCTCCATCTGGCCATGTAAGGGGTGATGGCCTCCAGCAGCTCCTGCCACTGCCTCAGAACACCAGGCCCACAGGCATGTTTCTATCACAACACATCCTGGTTTGCTGTGGACTTTGTGGTTCCAGGCATGAACCTAGCTAGGGGCCTTGTGCTTTGCAGAGCAAGCGCTCCAACCACTGAGTTCACCTGCCCTTGGTGCCAAGAGAGAGGGGGGAGAGAGGAGTTTGGTGCCAAGCTGAGTTCAAATCCCAGGGACCACACAGTAGAAGATGAGAACTATCAATGGCAATTTGTCCTTTGATGTTCACATTCGCGTATGCACACACAGAAATCAGTGAAGTCAATAAGTGCATTTAGAAAGAGACCATAACAACAGAATCTCTGATACTTCTCTCAGCTACTGGTTTGTACTCAACACTTAACGTGGAGTCTCCTAGAAGTCACCGCTTCCCAGACCCTTGGTACCCACTTTGTGCATTTCCAGGAACCATTTCCTTTGAAGATGCACTTCCTGTTTAGCCTCCATGATCCCAGCAGAACTGACCGTGGTCCCCGGTAGGTGGGACACATAGCCTAAGCCTGAGGAACCGTGCTTGGGACTTCAGCGTGGAAGCTCAAAGGGAGAGTCATCCTGGCTGCTAAACTGACAGAACAATCTGGCCACTGAGTTATGAAGGAAAAGCGGGCAGGTGGTAGGGATTTGAGATCTAGTTATGCTCTTAAGTCATGAATTCCTCAGTTTACCCTCACAACTAAACTCCCATCCCATTCCATTCCCCTTATAGTCAAGGAGGACTTGGCTCTGGCCACCGGCCCTGATTTCTGCCCCTGGCTACAGTGGGCCTTGTCAGGGGTGGTGGGAATTCAAGGAGGTGTCTGTTCTGTGTGCAGCGTGGAGACCCACACAGGGACGAGGGTCTGTGCTCAGGGTACATCTGAGGCCACACAGGACCCCGCCTCGTTCTTGTATTTCATGCTGTTCCCACCTCTTCCCCGTACCTTAGATCTGAGGAGACTGGACTGCAGCCTGGTGCTGTCAAGATCCCAGGAGTCTGGACTAGAGATGTGGCCCAGTGGTGGAGCACTTGTTTGGCATCGGGTCTTACTCCCAGCAACACAGAACAGAAATATTAGCTAGGCCTGGAATCCCAGTCCTCTGGAAGTTGAGGCGGGAGGACTGTGGGCTCAAACCTGCCCTGGACTACGCAGTTAGACCCTAGCAGGGAGCCGGGGGGTTGGGGGGGGTGGGGGTGGTGGTGGTGGTGGAGCATGCCTTTAATCCCAGCACTTGGGAGGCAGAGGCAGGCGGATCTCTGTGAGTTTGAGGCCGTGCTGGACCGACAGCCTCCAAAACAATACAAAGAAACCCAGCCTCGTAAAACAAACAAACAAGCAAACAAAGACCCTAGCAGGGAAACGTAGTTCTCAGAAAAGAGGGTGTCTCACAGTTCCGAGCTGGTGATAAGAGCCAGCACCCCTCCCGGGGGATATGGGAGCATCTCCAGAACGGCTGTGAGACGGCACAGGTGTTGGCAGCTCACCCCCTGCACCTGCCTCTAACTTCCTGTGGCAGGTGCCATCTGTGCTATTCTTTCTCCCTCAGCCTCCAGGACGGGGTTCACAGGAAGGACAGACAGATAGACAGGAAGCATCACGGAGTCGGCCTCCCCGGGAAGGGACCTCACGGGGGAGGTGTGGAAGCTGGAACAAGCTCGGGCATCCTCCACTCGGCTTCCCAGGGTCCCCAGCCACTTGGTACCCTGGGTACCGGTAGCATCCTCCAGCTTTCTCCCTTTCTGGAACCATGTCCCCAATCCCCTACCACTCTGTCAGCTCCCAAATCGACAACTTTGAGGTTTGCATTACAATATGGGGAACCCCAACTAAGGTAGGCTCCTTCAGTTCTGTGTTCCGCCTTCAGACACAGGGGCAGAGGAAGAACCATCGAAACATATCCAGACTGTTTCCAAGTTCCCAAGCACTCAGTAGTCTCAGACATCTTTGCATCTTTGGAAAACAATCATTTAATACACGTCTGGGCCGTGGACTCAGATTGGGGGGAGGCCGTTGACATAGCTGAGCACCAGGTAGGGTGTCCTGGCCAGTCGGGCATGGGAACAGCAGGGGACCCCTGACAAGGGCAGCAGCAATGTGGCACCCAGCAGAAGGAGGAAGAGAAGGAGAAAGAAGAGGGCCAGGGGCCGTCTGGGTGCAGAAGCAGGTACCCTGAGAAGAGACACAGTGTTATCAACAAGGGTGGGCTGCCGCCAGCATCCCTCTGGCCCACACCCTGGTCCCCCTCTCACCCATGATCCACCTCCAGCATCACATCCGGTGGATTGGGAGACGCGTGTCTCTTCTTGTCCTGAGCGCGCGCAGGAGCCAGCAGCAGAATAAATGGCAGCAACACTTAAGTGGGGGACATTCTCTCTCTACTCTAGGCCCACAGGGCTAGCCTTCCATTTCCTCCTTTCCTGGCACCCTGCGCCGCACTTGAACGGTGGGTGCGGTGGGTGTCTGGACCTGTCCTTCATGGCATCCATTTGCCGTGTTCCTGATAACCCTGATGGGATGGCGTGTGTGTGTGTGTGTGTGTGTGTGTGTGTGTGTGTGTGTGTGTGTGTGCGCGCGCGCACGTGCGCGCCTCTACACTCAGACCTTTGGGGTTATGTTAAACTGATTTCCACTTTTCCCACTTCCGTGATGGGGCATGTGACTCAGACCTGGCCAATCAGAGCACTCTGGCTAGTTCAGGGTGCAGCCTATGACCCCAAGCTGGGCAGGTGAAGTCAGGCCTGGGACTCTGGCTAGGAGGTCAAGGGTCATAGGGGTAGGTTAGTAAAGCAGAGGAAAGGGACTGACTGTAGCAGCTGGGGCTGGAGACAAGGTCAAGGGACAGAGACTGAGCCCTAATACATTTTAGGTCCTGAATTCATGGTGCGAGCGCACGCACTTGTGCTCGTGTGTGTGTGTGTGTGTGTGTGTGTGTGTGTGTGTGTGTGTGTGTGTGTGTGTGTCTGTGTGTCTGTGTGTCTGTGTGTCTGTGGGTCAGTCAATATGGGTTGGATGTCTTTTACTTGCCATCAATAACCCCTAGTGCTCCTAGCTCACCTGAGGCTTCCGGAGGCGCCTTCGATGGTGAGCTGCTAAATGTTTCCGGTGGCTGAGCCCCAATGTGAGCAGGTCCTGTGGGAAGAGAAAGGTTCGTGGTTCTTGAAAGATTGGAAGCATCGTTACAGAAGGGTCTGGAAGGATGTGCCACAGAGACGAAATTATGAAGGTCCACGTGGATCTCATGGAAGAGACAGAGGAGAAGAGCCAGAGAAACCAAGAGGAGAGAAACTTTATTTATTCATTCACCCAACAAATATTTAATGAGTGTCTATTACACACCAGGCACAACTCTAGGAGGCATGGTGAGGGCAGAAATGGGCAAAATTCTGGTCCCTGTGGAGCTTAAATTCTACCCAGAGAGGCCAAAAATTAACAAGTGAATGCATCATACCAAGCTGCGGTAAGGAGTATCAGGAAATAACGGTTGGGAATGACAAGATGAGTCACAGCAGCTCTCCAGAGAGGTGATGTGTAAGGAGTCAGGACTGAAACGGGAGAGGTGGGCTAGGCTCGCACCTAGGGCTTAGGTGGGGGTGAGGCTGGTGTGTTTGGAGGAGGGTCAGGGTTGTGTCTGCGGTGCAGGGAAGAGCAGAATGAGAGAAAGGAGAGCCAACGAGTTCATGGAGACAGGGAGAGACAGAGAGCACAGGAGAGCCATGGCGACGTTTATGGTGAGCATAGGTGGGCATGTCGGCGCATGCCTATAATCCCAGAAGATCGTGAGTTCACGACCAGCCTGCACTGCATGACTTGAATCTGTCTGAGAGAGAGGGAGGGAGAGAGAGAGAGAGAGAGAGAGAGAGAGAGAGAGAGAGAGAGGGAGAGAGAGAGAGAGAGAGAGAGAGAGAGAGAGAGAGAGAGAGAGAGAGAGAGAGAGAGAGAGAGAGAGAGAGGCTTAGAGAGGGAGACAGAACCAAGTCCCTCTTGAAAGGGAAGGCCATGACTGATCTCACCTCAAGGCCATGTCCGCTGCCCTGAGGTCCCCTGTAGCCACACAGCTCACAGGGAGCTCCTGGCATCCGAGATATCTTTTGCCCTGAGGGTCCAAGACCCCCAACATCCCCTGCTGGGTCCCATTCCAACTCGGCAGCAGTCAGGAAGGTGCTAGGTGCCCAGGGCCCCCAGATTCCACCAGGTGCTGGCCCGTCTGAGTCTCCCTCGACTTCCAAGTCCTGGTCCAGGAGGTTGGCCTTGTCAAGCACCTGGAGCAGAGGACAGAGGTCAGGGGAGTTGAGGGAATAGGGCCTGGGCTGGGGACTACCAGGGCAGGCCCTACCAGGCTATAGCTGATCAGCTGTGCCTGCAGCTGCCAGAGCCGCTGGAAGATGGTGTCTCGGTGGGTTCCAAGGACCCTCAGGACCTGCTCCAGAGATGCCCAGGCCCTGGGCTCACTCCTCTCTGCCAACCCCTCACCAAATGCCAGCAATGCCTCCACACGCTCGGCTGCCCCTCGTAGCTCTGCCTGTAGGGCCTGAGACACATGGTTAGACATTCTCACACACATGACAGTGACATCAGAGCCCCCCAAACCTGGAGCTATTTCCTCTTCCTCCTCCTCCTCCTCCTCCTCCATGTCCTATGCAGAAGTCGGAATATGTACTAAACCACTCCCCACCCCCAGGAAGCTTGCACCCATGCCTAGGACTCTGCTACTCTCCCATATCCTGGTCTCCTCCTGCCCACCTGCAGCTGGACAATCCTACTGTGAGCCAGTGTCCAAGATGCAAGGCCTTGCTCCAGATCCTGCAGCTGGAAGCTCAACCCCAGCAGACAAAGATGTAGGCTGTCCTGCTCAGTTTCCAGTGCTTCCAGGCCAGAGACAGGGTGCTAGAGATTACAGGGGACCAAATCGGGGCCAGCAGGCCAACACAATGCCCTACTCCCACAATGCCCTACTCCCACAATGCCCTACTCCCACAATGCACTACTCCCACAATGCACTACTCCCACAATGCACTGCTGCTGCCCAGGCAGGCTGCTGCCTTGCAGGTGCTTCTCTGGACCAATGCCATCGCCACAGCAACACTGAGGCTGCTCCCCCATGGCAGCCTTCTACCCCAAGGTGGGAGACAACTAATTCAAGGTCTCCAGGTTCCCAAGCCTCCAGGAAACCTCTTTATTTGGGTCTACACTGGGAGGGGTAATAGAATACCCCCACCCCAAAGGCATGCGGCTGTGCTAAGGCCATTAATGAAATTATGATTTTCTTTTTCTTTTTCTTTTTTGGTTTGTCGAGACAGGGTTTCTCTGTATTGTTTTGGAGGCTGTCCTGGAACACGCTCTGTAGACCAGGCTTGGTCTCGAACTCACAGAGATCCGCCTGCCTCTGACTCCTGAGTGCTGGGATTAAAGGCGTGTGGCACCACCGCCCGTCAAAATTATGATTTGCTACTTGGTAAAATACTGAAATTCATCCAGCTTGGAAACAGAGCTCCATACTTCAATTGCCAGCTCCCTGATGCAAGAGAATTGAAGGTTCAAGGCCAGCCTGAGCTACCTGGTAAAAGCCTGTCTCAAATAAGGGAGGTGGGGGAAGCTGGCTCAGCAGGTAAGGTGTTTTCTGTGAAGAAAGGGTAATGACCTAAGTTTGGATTCTCAGCCCAGTAGAAGCCAAGCATGCGGCACCACTCGGTAATGCCAGTGCAGGAGAGACAGAGGCAGACAGGTCCCTGTGGCCGGCCAGCCTAGCCAAATCAGTGAGCTCCTTGTTCAATGAGGGACCCTGTCTCAAAAAGCATGGTGGAGAGTGACTGTCAGTGACCCTTGACCTCCACACACGTGTGCGCCTGCCCACATTTATGCACACACACACACACAATGAATACACAAACATTTAAAATAATCGAAATGCTTCTGTGCAAACAAATGTCCCCACCGTGCCCCTTCCTCCGGAGACACCCCACACCTCCCAGAGCAAGGGGCGGATTCTAGGGGATAGAGGGCAAGCGGGACCGGCACAAAGGGCGTGGTCAGCTCACCTCCCAGCGGCGCTTGCCCCCATCTTGATGCTCATGGGAAGAGCCCAGGGGTAGTCTTGGGGGGCTGGTGGCAGGCTCAGGGTCCTTCAGTTCACCCGTGACATGTTCAGGAAGGCCCAAGGAGGCCCGGGCCTGCTCTGACCTAAAGATAATGCATGTTGACGGGCCGTGGATGGGCCACTGGGCCTCCTTCTCCACCGAATCCCATGCCCCGTTTTCTCCATGCCCTTATTCAACCGTGCTCACGCCACGCGTGACCCTTCCCGCCGCCCCTCCCTTGGAAGCAGGCATCAAGTCCCACCTGCTTGCGCCGTCTGTGGGCGCAGGACAGACGGCGCGTCCGGCAACGTCTCGCTCCTTGAGAGCACCCAGGGGATGGTTGAGGGGCTCCGAGGGGAACCCATGGCCAAGAGGTGGGGACAGGGCCATGGCTGTGGACTCCAGGACAGTCAGGGGAGGATGTCCAGTCAGAGTCTCTTTCTCAGCCCGCACCCCGGGCTTCCTCAGCCCTACAAGCCTGAGGCTACCGAGAGGCCCAGGGGCCAGCCTGGCTCCACCCCTTCCAGGAGGAACCTGGACCAAAGAAACCTGAAGCCCTGCTGAGGTGCAGAGACACTTAACTCCTTCCTTCCCAGCAGGGAAACCTAAACCTCCCGATATCACCCCCACGCCACCCATCCCAAGGGGCTTAGAGAAAGACAACTCCACCCATCCCCCCAAACCCATCACCCTGTCACCTCCAGGGACTCACGTATCTGAGCACCATCCTATTGTCCAAGCAACTGGTAGCTGACATCTCAGACAGGCTCTAGCTACCGGGACAGCCTTGGAAATTTATGGGTACCATGTCTCAAAACTAAAACATGAAATTGTTGCACTAAGCTACATATATATAAACAGCTTTATATAAACAGCTATATATAAACAGCTTTGCCTAGCATCCAAGAAGCTCTGGGTTCCATTCCCCAGTATGGAAGAGGGGGTAGGGAGAAAGGAAACCACAGCATACGTTCCCACCTAGTACAAAACAAGTAAAGAAAGGTATTTCCGGTTTATTTGGAATGGCATCTTCTCCATGGTTTCCACAGTTACTGGGAAAATAAATAAGCCCGGACAGCCAGCCACCTCTACCCTAAGGCCACAGAATCCGCAGGACTTGGGAGGTCACTTGCTCAGCATGAGGCTGGCGCGCAGCACACGGGGCACGCGGCGAATGGTCAGGGAGACACGGGTGCCGCGCACCAGGTGGGCTCCGGGCAGCGCCGACTGGCACGCAGCTGCGTTGGGCGGCAGCGAGGTGGCGTCCAGCTCGTCCACAAGGGTGGCTGCGATGCCGTGGAGCAGGTGTGTGTAGGCTGTACCCCGGAGCACCAGCAGGCTGCGCGGTTCCACCAGCAGCGAGGTGATGGGTTGTGGAGGCGGCCGGGGCTGCGGGAGCCAGTTGATGGTCAGTGGATATCCGGAGTTTGCAAAACAACAACAACAACAAAAAATCAGCCAACGTCAACAGTTAGTCAGGGGACAAGGGTCAGCAAGTCCCGGGGCGGTGGGGGGGGAGGTCGAGGAGCTCTGGTGGCAGAGGAGTGGTAATCTATAGGTCCTGGGGACAAGGCTATTGGGAAAGGAAGCCCTGTGTCTACGTGTGTCCAATCCTTGGGGAGGAGGCAGGGCCTACGCTGCAGATGAAGACATCAAGGGTCACTACGCCGCGGGGCGGGGGGGGGTGGGGGTGGGCTTCAGATGGCATCTGAGAGGCTGGGACAGAAACGGGAAGTCTCCGGGATACATGCAGAGCTAAGCTGGGGCCAGGCTCTGATAGAGGTTAAAGGGAGGGGCCAATCCTAGGACTCAGATGTTAAAGAGCTCGGGGGTGTACTGGAGCCTGGGGGAGCATGTATTAATCAGGCATGGCATTGCAGGGGGCCTGTCTTGGTGGAAGGGGTGCAGAGAGAGGGCCAAGAAATATCAGGCCTGGGCGTCCAGGCGGAGAGTCCGTGAACACTGGGCCATCAAGAATGCATGATTTAAGGGCTGGAGAAATGGCTCAGAGGTTAAGAGCACTGACTGCTCTTCCAGAGGTCCTGAGTTCAATTCCCAGCAACCACATGGTGGCTCACAACCATCTACAATTCAATCTGGTGACCTCTTCTGGCATGTAGGCAGAACACTGTATATGTAATAAATAAATAAATCTTAAAAAACAAAGAAAGAATGCATGACTTAAGAGCTACAGATAAGGGTGTTAGGTATCCCCACCCAACAGTCATGTGATGGTGAGTTAAGGGGAGTCTAGGGGTCACAGGGCACATGACTAGGGTGGCCGGACACCACTGTTGAGGTGCCCTGTACATACATACTATATAGTATGTTGGAGCCAGGCACAGGGGGTACATGCCTGTAACCCCAGCACTCCGGAGATGGGGCTGGAGGATGGCAACCGTGAGGTTATCCTGGGCTATATGAACCTTGTCTCAAAAATGAATAGTAAGAATTTTAAAAAGTCCGCTGGCACTCTGTGTTGCGCTCTCAAACGGGCTGTGGGAGCGCCACAGTCACCTGTTACCCTCAGGCATCCAATACTTCGGGGATGTACTAGGTACCTGTGTTTGTTGTGCCAGCTAGAGCCCTACACAGGTATACTGGCTGGGTATGGGCTGGGCTATCTGGGAAAATGTTGGGATACTCAACCAGGGACAGGAGGACCTGTCTGGGTCTCAGGCGTACTCCGGAGACTTGTAGAATTGGACTGTCCTGGAGTTTATGGGATGTTAGATGTTGGAATGCCCTCAAGCACTTGGGACATTATCTCTTAGGACCCACCTGTTCTATAGGGACATCATCCTCTGGCTGCCGAGGCTCATAGAAGTCAAGGACGGTGTGGGAGCCCAGGCTGATGGTGCTGACCGTTGGGTAGTACAGTGGTCCGTCTTCGTGAGGCTGGGGAGGAAAGGGGCACCAGGGCTGGCCAGGGCAGGAGCCTACCCAACTCCATTAAGTCAGAGTGGGGTTCCCAAGCTGGGTTAGGGAGGTAAGTGCCTAGGGAGGGTGCGTAGTTGCTCAATGAGGGTAGGCAGACATAATGGTCACCCTTCTTCTTAATGATCCGGAGGTCTGGGGGAGGGAGCAGTGACCAAGGGGACTGAGATGGGGGCGTGTGATTACCATGATGCCCTCCCCGGGCAGATATTGGTTCACAAGGACGTGGTTAGCTGGGAGACCCCCAAAAAGGCCGAGGTCAGACACTTTGTCCACGTAGCGCTGAAGCCATGGAGGAAGCCGCTCAGGAACCATTCCCCGGGGGTGGGGGAGCCCACCTGGAGAGTGCAATGGAGGCTTGGAGGCATCCCATCAAGGAGTCTCGGCATCCGGTACCCACATTAAGAATATTCCCACGATTGGAAGCATCTCTGCCCACTGAGTTCTGGAGACCGCCACTGGACTTTTCTGAAGTTTTCTTCACAGCACCTGGTCCTCAGAAATACTCCCTACCTCTCAGTAAACCCTGATCCCTTAAAATCACCGCCAAACCCTGAACCCTCCTGGCTCTGGGACCCCTGGAACCCTTGGAGATAGCCCTACATATATCGAACCCATTGGACCTTCCCGGGCCATGCCCCCTAGCTAAGAACACTCACCCCAGTTCTGCAGCTTCCTCCCAGACAGCTGAGTCCACTTTGGCTTTGGGGCATTAAAAACCTAGGAGGGGGTGGGGAATAGGCTTTCAGGGTTTTCCCACGCATGCTGACACAAGGGCCTTCACGTGGAGTGGAAACACACTGTCTAGAGTTTGTTTGGAGGTCCCAGGTGCGGACAGCAGCCATTAATATAGTCCTGACTGAAGAATAGTCCTCCTCTATCAAGGAAAGCACAGGAACACTTGCCTGGCCAGCCAATCAGTTGAGTTAACCCTGGCAGTCAAGCTGTAACGGATGTTCTATCCAGACGGCACCCACAGCTGGAAACGGGATTCTTCTCTGATATGGTCCGTTCCCAGATAGTTATTATTTGTGTGTGGGGGGGGTCTCATGTGTCCCAGACTGGCCTCGAAATTTCTATATATCTAAGCATGGCCTTGAATTCCTGAGTCTCCTACATCCACCTTCCCAGTGCTGGCACTATAGGCATGTGCTGCCACACACAACTTGGGATCTCACAACACAGGGAGAATAATCTCTGAAACTTTCTTGTTCCCAAGGCCCTGTGGGTGGCACTGGGCTGGCTAAGTCCTGTCAGGAATGTGACCTCAGTAACACCCTTGTTTAAAGGTTAGGCTGGGATATCTCAGTACAGAGAATGTGGGCTTCATAATTGCATCCTTGGGCTGGTGGAGGTGTGCCACAGTGGGAGAGTGTGTGGCAGGCATGCCGTGCCCAGACCCCACACCACCCCAGCAGGAACACACACACACACACACACACACGCACACACACACACACGCACATACACACGCACACATACACACATGCAGGCACACAGGAACGCGCTCATCATCCCTCCTAAGAATACATTTGGTTTTTCCTAAGCCTCTAGGAAAGTTCTTGTTTGCTTGCTTTGTTTTGTTTGAAACCAGATCTCACTAGACAGGGCTGGAGAGAAGGCTCAGTGGTTAAGAGCACCGGCTTGGAGAGACGGCTCAGTGGTTAAGAGCACCGGCTGGAGAGACGGCTCAGTGATTAAGAGCACCGGCTTGGAGAGACGGCTCAGTGATTAAGAGCACCGGCTGATATTGCAGAGAACCCAGGTTCACTTCCCAGCACCCACACGGTGGCTCACGACCACCTGTAACTCCAGTTCCAGGGAACCCACATGTCTTCTAGCCTCCTCGGGCATGGTACAGAGGTCATGCCCATACATGCATGCAGATAAAGCACTCATACATATGAAAACTTTTTAAAAATCCAAGAAGTCGGCCGGGCGTTGGTGGCGCACGCCTTTAGTCCCAGCACTTGGGAGGCAGAGGCAGGCGGATCTCTGTGAGTTCAAGGCCAGGTTGGCCTGCAAAGCAAGTTCCAGGACAGCCTCCAAAGCTACACAGAGAAACCCTGTCTGAAAAAAGCAAAAAAAAAGTTCTGAAATTTGAGATCCTTCTGCCTCAACCTCCCTCACGCTGGGATTACAAACTGTCACTACACCTGGCTGAGAACACTCTTTTAGACGGACCTAGCAATGACTGAAAGAGAGCCAGGAGCAGGAGGGTGTCAAGGCACCAGGGCTCTCATACCGGGGCTGAGCGCTGGAGAGGAAAATGGCAAGAGGGGACAGACGGATGAGAAGAAGGGCACTGGGGTCACCTGTCGAAGCAAATACTCCTCCTCTTCCTTGGAGATGAAGTCAGGGACGTAGTAGATTAGAGGTGGGGCCTATAATGGAAAGACTGACTCAGGACAGTGTTCTCAACCTGTGGGTCCTGACTCCTTGGGGGGGGGGTAGAACAACCCTTTCCCAGGGATCACCAAGGACCATAGGAAAGCACAGATATCTACATTACGATTCGCAACAGTAGCAAAACGACAGTTGTGAATTAGCAATGAAATAATAACTTTACGGTTGGGGGGGTCACCACAACATGAGGAACTGTATTAAAAGGTCACAGCATTAGGAAGGCTGAGAACCTTCGGCTGTGGCGCTTTGCCCAACACGACCCTATCACGACTGAGCAACCTTTCCTCTTG